TAATAGAATCACAAAAAAATAAATATATAAATAGTATATTAATGTAAATATGTTAAAAATATATAATTTAATAATAATTGCTACTTTATATATGGAAAAATGTGAATTAACTGCTTAACTGATAACCATTTAACTGGTTAATTAATTAGTTAACCGTTTAACTAATTTAACCGATTAATTAGTTAATTCATTTAACCGGTTAATTTGGATTAACTAGTTGGCTGATGAACTAATTAAACTGATTAAATTTTATGGCCGGTTTGGTCGGCCAAATTATACAGCACTACTATTTATTGTTGTTGGAGAAATAATTTCCCAAGTTTTTTTGCTACAGGCTATTAGAAGAGGAAACAAGGAAGCTGTATCCTAAATTGTAACTCTATTTAATAAATATTATTTGTGGCTTTTATTGGCAAAATTTCTGTACCTTTACTAAATAATTATAAAAAAAACATATTCAACATCATCAGTATCATTAAAGAAACATAAATGTCAAATGTCAAAAAATATGTCAAAAAAAATGTTCCTGGTATCTTATCTTGAAATTTTTCTCTGGCCGTGAGTCCTGAGACACCCTGTATATTTATATAAGAGCAAGGAACTGTAAATACACAATGTTGAAAAAAGAGACTTTAAATCTATAAAAAGGCCCAAAGAAACTAAATTATTATTCGTAAGAAAACTTGAGTTGAATTTTTCTTTTCTAGGCAGAAAAATAACAAGGTAATTGTTTACACCCGAAAAATGTCTCCAAACTCTCTAAATAAAAATGCAAGTCTTACGTAAAATATAAATATTTTATGATATTATTAACCGGTCATTGCTTTGTAATAATTTGACTTAATGCTAATTCATTTAATACACGTAATTTATTCAATTCACCTTCATATTTTTCGATGTGTTAATTACATTCAATTTTTTTTCTTTCAAAGAAGCGACACACAAATCGCTTCGAATATCATGAATTGAAAATTTTTAGGGAAATTTATTATGTATCTGAAGACACAGGTTGTTTAACTGCTTGCATTATAAAGTTCACAGGTACATTGCCGTTAAAATAATTTTGTTTGGGTTATTGGAAATTTTATTTAGCGCGAAATTAATAATGTCATTGCCATTTACCATAATCACTCTGTATAACAAACAATCACGTGACCACCGCCATTATTTCAAAAAGTCAATATAAATACTCACAGGTTAGTTTTGTTTGGGTTATTGAAAATTTTATTTAGCGCGAAATTAATAAAAAAGTCATAAAGTCAATCACTCTGTATATGTATTATTTTGAACGTATTTTATGCAATCCACCCTCCATCGCGTCACCATTGGTTGCATCACGTGACTATCACCGCCGCCATTATTTCAAAAAGTGACAGTGTTTTGTGACAAAAGTGCCAAAAAGTCAACAGAAATACTCACAGGTATGGTAATTCCCCCTTGTGTGTTAACAGTTTCGTAAAATCCCCGAAAAGTGATGTCCTGATTGGTATCAAACACTGGGCACTGAAATTTGTGAATAAAACGGCGCCGGTTTTGAAAAATGAAAACTTACGCTTGCATTTTGAATACTGACAGTCATACACACAAAATCCTCGGAGAAAACCTCCAAAATAACAGTTTCGTAGTTTGAATTCGGAGTTTCGGTCACATTTGTGGTAAAATTGTAAAAGTAGAATCGGGGTTCGCTTGGGGTTATATTGAAGTTGTATTTGACAGAAGGACTGATGAAAAAGTCTTCTTGGTAGTCGACGTGTACCGTGAAAGTCACATTTTGGGGGGACGCCGTTGAGACACTTACTATGGGGCTGTCTAATGTGATTTCCAGTCCTGGGGACTCTTTATTACGTTTTATTTGGGCAAAATTGAGACAAACCTCTGGGGGCGTAATCCCGGTACATATCGTGGCACAGAGTCCGTGATATTTTCGTAAAATTGTGATTACCGGTGTCGCTTTCCAACACCATTGGTAGCTGCCATGACAGTAATTCTTTGGGTTGTCTTGCAACTACCATCAGGGGATTTTTTATTTGAGCATCGCTGCTGTTTATTGTGACTCTTGGAGGGTATTTTAGCTGAAATTGGGGTTTAGTGTTACATGGGGGTTATTTATAGTGATGACATACTTCCGGGGCTGAAAATTCGAGAATGTATTCAACGGATTTGTTGATTGAAAATGTGTAAAAATCACTGTAACTCAAGTTCAAATATATGGGATTAAAACTATCACAAATTACATTCACAGCGCTTATTATTAGGAAAAATTGTAACATTTTTGTTGTCATTGTTCTGTTTGGGTCATCTTAGTACAAATTTGAAGGTTCGAGGTTAGTTTTGCGGTTTGATGACACACACGTGATGTTTCGTACCAGTGGCGTAGCAGATGGTGGGGTTTAAGGACAAAAATTACAAACAACAAATTAATGCTAAATAAAATTTGATATTTTAGACTGGTTTTGTGTTGTTTAGTGTTTTGATATGTGCTTTTATATAAAAACCGATAATAAAACATATTATTTTTATATTTTTTTTATTTGTTTATTTTTAAAATTAAGTTTGCTTTGAATATCCATGAAATTAACTATTGAAACATTCAATACTTTAAAAAAAAAAATTTAATCTCGAGATATTAATATGAATGTTAAGGTTATAGCAAACAATACATAATAAACTGAAATCTGAATTTTACTTTTTTCGAGTTAAGAGTTGACTTTTAACATTATTATTATTATTATTAAATATATGTTTTTTAAAGTATTACTTTTTTTTACTTAATTCATCGATGACTATTTATCGTACAATAATGAACATTTTTTTTCTATCAGGTGAATAAAAAGTATGGAACCAAACGTTTTTTGCTTAAACTATTTATTTTTTGGACAAATTAATTGATTAATGATAAAGTACTATAAAAGTGATGTTTTGTCAAAATTAAAAGTTTTCAAATTTTGTTTTTGTTTTTGAGTTCCACAAAAATGTTTATTTGTTTAAAGGACAACCCACTCTAAAACCATTTTTTTTATGAAGGTTATGATCTAAGGATTACAGTTATCTACTTTAAATTTAATTTTTTCAAATTTTTTTTTATACAGGGTGAGCCAGTACTTACGCCCCAGAGAAAATAAATTTCAACTAAGAAAAGATACCAGAAACATGGAAAAAATGTTTAAAAATTCTATCTGTCAAAGAATTTTGACATTTATTTTTTGACATTTGACATTTTTTTATGTCTATTTCATGATACTAGTGATCTTGTATATGTTTTTAACGATTATTTAGTAAAGGTACAAAAATTTTGGCAATAAAAGCCACAAATAACATTGAACAGAGTTACAATTTAAGATACAACTTCCTTGTTTCCTCTTCTAATAGCTTGTAGCAAAAAAACATGGAAAATTATTTTTCCAACAGAAATAAATAGAGTCAAAGTGCAAAATTTAAACTCTCATAACTTCTAAATTTTTATAGATAATATTTTTTTAACATTTTTTCCATGTTCCTGGTATCTTATCTTATATAGCATTTTTCTCTGGGGCGCGAGTTCTGGTGCACCTGTATAAATTGCATTTTTGACAAAAAAAATTCGCATAACTTAAAAAAACAAAATTTTGTTCTCAAAATGCCATCACATTTCCTATATTACTTTAAATTATATTAATTATTATTTTCTGGAGGAAAATGATTTAAAAAAAAACGCTTGGTTCCACACTTTATATTCACCCTGTATGTTAGAAACTTAAATGTGTAATTAAATAGACGAGTAATTGTATTCAGTTTTCTGCATTCTACTAAAATTGTGCTAAAAATAGTTCAACTTTGTAAGGGCCATTTCAATGATTTTTGTTTTTGATTTTTGTATACAGACCCATTATAAATGATTGTTTGCGTACTTCCAATTATACCCTCTAAACTACTGTTACAGCCGACACTTTTGTTGTTTTGTCAAGTCACTGAACTTTCAAATAATTATATTATTATTATTAGGTATGTTGTTAATAATAATTATTTCACAGAACTTCGAATCTAGTTTATTTAACCAGATAGTTGTATTTAATGAAAGATTTTATTTTACCGAAAAATATTTTTTTTGTAAATTCAGGAAAATGTGGTAATTTTTTTGGTTCATTACCATTATTTGATATAACGACTAGTTGAAAATACTTTAAAACCGAATTGTAGGTCAACTTTTAGGGTCATTGTTTCGTTTTTTGTGATGTACTGACTTATTAACATTAAAACTATTAATAAAAAATAGTTTCACAATTTCTTTGAACTGATTTTTATTTTTTTCTTTTTTCTCTGAATCGGAAACATAAATATTCAACGAGAGGAAAAACAACAACGTTATCACTGTCTGTTTACGCATTGTCTTTTTCAAAATTACATAACCATTAAGGACGTTATTTACGTTAGTTCCACGTAAAAGTGAAAATAGTTTGCGTAATTCTAAGACGATCCACTAACCCGTATCCCAATTTAGTTTACCAAATCTTTATTCTAATCAAAGAGAAATTGACTAAATTACATACCGGGATATGTGTCAAAGTTAATGTGAGTGAACAAACAAAAACAAACATTGGATTAAATGAATTTATTAATAATCTTTGGCACTACACTATGACAGAAAATTTCAAGTGGTTTTTTAGGAATTTGGATTTTATAAATAATGATCTTTGGTGGCCACTTATGCATATATTAATTACTTAATTTAATATAAAATACTTAAACTAATAATACATAATTGGGTTACATAATAACACGTTACAGGATTTGATAAAAATACAAATTTCATTCGTAACATATCACTTGAGACGTGCCTGAAACCAGCACACAATTTTTGTACTCTTGTCAATTTGAAATACTTCCGGTGAAATTATCGTCTAATAAATTTAAACGTGAAGGTATCTTTCGGCAATGCCAGCGACCCTACTGGAACCTTGTAACTCGTATCGTTAGCATCGATGGTAAAATTCTGCATAATCCCACCCAAAATCCCAAAACTGACCAATTGTACCATCTTATAACCCATACAACTCCTCCTACCACCACCGAAAGGTAAGAAATGCTCAGGTTTGACTAAACGCTCTTCTCTGATGAATCTCTCCGGTTTGAACTTTTCCGGCTCGTCCCATAACTCCGGAGACATACTTAGGTCGTAATTGTTCAAAAAAATCACGGTGCCTTTTTCGATTTGTAAACCTAGAATTTGGATAGTTAGAAAAAAAAATTAGTTAAAAATTAGTGGGTTTACCATTGATTGAACTGTCACGGTTGGCAACTCTGGGAACGATTGGTGACGCGATTAAACGAATCGCTTCGAAAATTGTGGCTTCTGTGTATGGAAGAAGAGTCCTGTGGGAGATTGCCACTTCCTTAGTCCCCAAAACTCGATCAATCTCCTTGTGGATGTTTCTCTGGACTTGGGGTTCTTTAGCCAAGAAGGCGAAGAGTTTGACTAGGAAATTAGCAACGGCCGAGTGACCCCCGATGATGTCCTCCAGAGCAAAAAGGGCCGAGTCCCATGACAAATCTGGTGATTCCCCACTTTTGACATACTTGATCAAGCTTTCGACGTAATCGTCTGGTTCACTCTGGGGGTCGAAATTATCAAATCGACTTTCGATGATTTGTTCCAAGACGAAATCGCGGATTTTGTGCGTGATGCCATTGACCCGTTTGAGGTTTTTCTCGTGAAAAGGCAACAAAAATGGCAGAAAATCAGCAGCGTAGCCTTGGTTGACTTCGTAGAAGATTTCGTCGTAATTGTCGACCATTTCGATGAAGGATTTTTCGTCAACATTGAAGTTTTTCGAGCAGAAATGCCGAGTGAAAATGTTGGCACAGTTCCGCGAAATGATCGATTTTGTAGGACTTGTGTTGGTCGAAAGGGCCGAAATGACGGATTTAGTCCCACTATTGATCAATTCTTCCAAAGTGTAAAATCGATTGGTGAAAGCTCGAGGAAAAGTATACGCTTTTAGCATATCGCGTCGTGTTTTCTGAGTCAAAGACCAATTACAGAAAGCCAAAGCTGTTGAAAAAACAATGTATTTGTGGTTGAAAAAATTTGGGTAATAAGACTTACAGTTTTCCTTGTCTCCGGAGAAGAGTTGTTGGTAGCGTTCAAAATTCGGTCTGGAATCGAAATGGTGTCCTTTGGTGACTAAAGCTTCTCTTATGTTCTTCTGTCCGTTGATCACCACACACTTGACGTACCCCAACTGAAGACTAAACACACTTCCGAATTTCTTCGATAGCGATGTGAAAGCTTGATAAGGTACTTGATATCCTGCCAAGAGATGCAAGTGTCCAATTATGGGCAATTTTAACGGACTTGGTGGACGGTATTTCCCCTGTCGTTGTCTCGTAGATTCAGCTATGGCGAATATGGTGGCAAACACCACGAAAGCAATTAAATAAATTGTGAATTGTGTGATTTGGATGAAGAACATTGTGAAGATGCACCGCGGACAAATCCACCAGAGAACAACGTTTCAGTACGGAGTGGAGACGTCGTCTGGGTTATCCGATTGATCTAATCTCGTTTTATACAGATGATTTCAATAATGCCATTCATTTATTCGGCAGGTTTTGAATATAGACGGTGGTGGTTTTGCATGGTGTAGAAAGTGCGTCTTTGTCGATGACTGTTAAGATGTGTGGGTGGGAGAGAGATGAAGGCGAGTGTGTGGATGATGCGGATGTGGTTGGATGATCGAATAGAAATTAGTTTTTACAAGTTACATGTTTATGTATTTGGTGTAATTGAATGGGATTTTGGAAGGGAGTAATAGGGATGAGATTTTCCCTGAAAGGGATTAGAAAGGAGAAAGTTGGGAATTCCAAAATATTTTATTGAGGAACAGGTGGTTAAGGGAGGTTTTTTATATACAGAGTGTTCTCCTACAGTGTAGAACCTTCTACATAATTTAACATAATTCCGGTACTTGTAAACAAGTAAAATGACACTTGATGGTTCCACTGTTGACAGGTTTTGTATTATAAATATTTAAGTAGTGAAAAAAATGCTGATTGAAGGGTTTTGTTTCCTCGTGTGAAGGTATTTTTTATAACCAAATTTTTCCATCTGGTGCAGAAAGAAAAATAAATTGTCTTTAAATTACTATTATTATTTTTCATGATCTCGTACTACAAAGAACTTTATATTCATAAAATAAAAAATTCAAGAGGAGGATTTTTATTTTCAATTACCTTTTTTGTCTTTGTGCTTTTTTTATTCTCCCGTCTGCTGTGGTTTCCTTGTTTTTTTTTTTACACTTTCTTTATTGTAAAGAAGGAATTTTAAATTGAAACAATAGAATAACTATTCTAGTGTGTAGTAAATACCCGGTGAAATAAAAAGTATGGAAACAAGCATTTTTTCAATAAAGTAACTTTTTTACGAAAAAAATAATTAGTATAGTTTAAAGTACAATTAAAATGTGACCATTTATTACGAATA